TATTCACTTGCTTAATTTATTTTGTACATATTATATAATGTTATGTAATAAATATATGAGAGAGAGAGAAAGAGAGAGAGAGAGAGAGAGAATACATAATATTATATTCTGTACATATATTACATAATATGTAATTAAGATACATTGTATCTGCATGAACTTACCCCTGGTTCTCCTCTCAAAGCCGAGTTCTTGTCCTTTTTCTTCCCCTTCTTTCCTTTCTTCCCTTTTCCCTTTTTTCCTTTCCCTTTCTTCTTCCCAGGCATGATGGCAGAACATCACCTGTTCCTGGACTCTCTGCTACAATGGGAGGAAAGAAGTGTTTCTTTTTATTTATTTGATCAAGAAAAACATCATAAAAGTAGGTATAAGGTAGCTACCAAGTCAGCCTACTCAATGTCAGGGCATGACTTTACATGGAACGTCTCTTCTTTCACACTGCTTAGCCCAATAGCAATTGGATTATTATAACTATAATATATACATGTGGTAGTTACAAATTGAAAACAAGGGCTGGTATTAATAAAACAGGGAAATGAAGGTAAAGGCACTAAGGAACATAGACATTCTGTGGGTGTAAAAGACATGGTTGTCCATTTCTGAGACATTGATTAATACATGAATAAATGGCTATAATAATTTGACTAGCTGCCCTAGTGCATACATGTACACAGGTTAGGGTTAGGTGTCAATCACATGGACAGCCTGCCAATAGCAAACAAAATCACTGTTGCATTTTACAGGCAGCCTGTCAAGAGTGGGAAAAAAAATAGACGGCCTGTCTCAACTTGAGTTTGGTTTCTGTTGTATCAACTGTGAAAACTCGAGAGTGCGAAACAAAAAAGTCACAGAATAATCGTATTACAACATTACAATGCCTGAAAAGGAAATCATTCACACTAAGAACACTCGAGTTAGAAAGAAAAGAAACCCTTGAGAGTTGAAGTTTGCCCCAGAACCGCCCCCCTCCCCCCTCACCAGTGTTGCAGAAATGTTGCCATGGAACTGCCACAACTTCAGAGCGGCGTCCGCAAAGTTTGCAACACCAAAAAGTCTTATTTTTGCTACAAAATCCAGCTCAAATACACCACATACCAACCTTGTTACTCTACGCTATTGTTGCAACATCTTGATTTTGTTTTGTTCGTTCGGCTCGCGAAGAAAATGAGACTAAACTCGACTAAAAACTTGCAAAAACTTTGTTGCTACCCGCGAAATCACGTCTGTTCACGCGAAGTTACAGTCTCGCGAGATGTTGATGTCTAGGCAGAGATTAATGGGGGTCAAAATTTCAGTACTTTTATGAAACCACCTTTAACACTATAACTCATTAGTTTAAACACCTTTACTCTTATTAAAAACAATTTTGTTACTTTTTAAGCTAGTGGTTTAACATTTTTGTTGATTATTATTGGTTTTAAAACATATAAATAAAACTATTGGACACCCCCGCGGTTCGAATTTCTTATCGCCCGTTAACCTTTGACATGCCATAGATGCTAAACTAGATAGTAATATTAGCGGTTGCTAATATAGACAGGTTTGCGTTGTACATAGTCATTGTAGTGTAACTTACAATATGTTTTTTGTGTGTGCTTTACCTTTTACAGGGTTCCTTCTCATCCTTTTCTAATCCCCACTTACCTTGTAAACAATTTCGTCATCAATATACTAACAAAAGAACAATAGTTACACCCAAAACAAAATTTCACTTCTTTATGACTTCTCTATGCCCCATGACCTTTAACCTTTTGAGGGTCATGCAGGCGTCAACAGCGCCCTCCCCACGCCTTGCCCACCTACCTACCGAACTACCTACCTACCTACCGAACTACCTACCTACCTACCGAACTACCTACCTACCTACCCTCGCAAATGCAAGGTGATGTTTCTGCACTTCTCAAAAACTGTGCCACCACTACCCTCACTAAAAATTGACAACTACCCCCTAGTACAAGTTCAAGTAGCTAAACTCCTGGGGCTCCATATACAAGCTGACCTAAAATGAAACACCCAGGTGGACCACATGGCCAATTAAGAAAGGAAGCCAGAGGCTTTTCTTCTTGAGAAGACTCAAATCTTTCGGAGTTACTAGAGAAGATCTTGTCACCATATATTACAGTAACAAGTTTTGTCCGACCCACTTGTGAGTACGCTGTCCCAGTTTGGCAACCAGCCATTACACAGTCCCAAAGACGTCAACTGGAAAGAATACAGCGAAGGGCTTTTCGAATCATCCTTGGGCCTGACTACACAACCTATACTGACGCTTGCAACACGCTATGCCTCATGACACTACAGCAAAGACGTGAACACCTTTGTCAGACATTCGCAAGAAGACTACTACAGTCTGAGTCCTACCGGAATTGGCTACCCCCCTTCCGGGGAGACGTCAGTGGTAGAAGAACAAGAAACAGCAGCCTATTGGACACTATTAAAACACGAACTAATCGTTACAGGAATAGTCCCATACCCTATCTTGTAACACTCTTCAACAATAATGCAACCAGTATTTGCAGTTTCGATTCAAATATGTTGTAATGCACATATGTTAAGTTTGGGAGAAGAAATTCATTAGATTTTAATTCTTATGTAAAGATCTTTACCTGACCTGAATTATCACCTTGAACGTATTAGATTTTGACGTATGGTCTCAACCATTGCATGATACGAGAATTCATCAATAATTGGAGATTATTTTCTCATAATATGTTTTTTTACAACGGCCCTGACTGGAATGTTTCAATGATTGCTAATATTAAATTTCTAGTCCCCCAAAATAGTTCAACCAGCACTATGCAATGCCGAACTAATATGTTTGAATATACACATTTATGACAAGTCATCAATAATAATGTATTAATAATAGGCTTATTGAAATCTGTATGCACGATATGTATTTAACCTCTGACAATGTCTACTCAGAGGTTATCTTTTAATCTGTTAATTTGTAGATTGTATTTTATTAATAATTTATGTATTTCTTTAATAATTTGTAACCCATGTATTTGTCGAATTGTTTTAGCAGTGCAATTCAGTGCGGGTTTACACCAAGCACTGCGAAACTGTAATCTTTGAGAAATAAAACCAATCACTACCACTACCTACCTACCGAACGACCTACCTACCGAACGACCTACCTACCTACCTACCGAACGACCTACCTACCTACCAACCGAACGACCTACCTACCTAGACGGAGCGGGCCTACCCAAATCAAGTGCGGGCCTACCCAAATCAAGTGCGGGCCTACCCAAATCAAGTGCGGGCCTACCCAAATCAAGTGCGGGCCTACCCAAATCAAGTGCGGGCCTACCCAAATCAAGTGCGGGCCTACCCAAATCAAGTGCGGGCCTACCCAAATCAAGTGCGGGCCTACCCAAAATCAAGTGCGGGCCTACCCAAATCAAGTGCGGGCCTACCCAAATCAAGTGCGGGCCTACCCAAATCAAGTGCGGGCCTACCCAAATCAAGTGCGGGCCTACCCAAATCAAGTGCGGGCCTACCCAACGACGTACCTACCGAACTACCGAAATTCATGTCACGTGTTCCCTACCCCAAGAGCTACCTACCTACCGAAATTAGCATGTCCAGATCGCGATATATCAAAACCAGAAGTTCTGCTGCAGTACCTAGGAAAGCCGCCAGGGGGCCCAAAATCTAATCATTCCTAGCTCTTATGAAGACCTACCCACCTACCAAGTTTCATGGCAATGCATATTAAGCTTCTTGAGTTATGCTGTTCACAAACAGAGAATATATGGTTCGCCTCGCTTTACCCTCTAGCGGACCAACTCCGGATCCCCTGCACTGGCATGTTTTCTTTTTATCTGGTCAATTTCTACTCTTTCCTGGGGGCCCGCAAGCCCTTTTCTGTAGAGCATATTCGCCGTTTTAATTCTACGTAATGCGTTATAGCCACTTGGAATTTATCGTAAAGCGTATTAAAAATCGAGAAGTTTCCGAATTCAGCATAGATCGTTGTCGGGACCCCCCTTGCAGGCCCCCTTTCCTGAGCTGTCTCCTGAAGTCTGGTAGAGGTTATACAGCTAGAACTTAATGTGTAGACTCAGACGTGCCCCTCTGGGCAAAACCTACAATTGAAGTTGACGGCTGCAAATTAGAGGTAGGAGATCGGGTCGCGCAGTTGGCTGACCTGTAGGCAAGGCTAGCGTTCCGTTGAGTTGACACACCGAGCCTCGGGTCATCCCACAAGTGTATAGTATGTCGTGGAAAAATGTCCACCCCACACAGAAGTCCTCACACAGAAGGAAAAGGTAGTCATTTAATGGATTTAATGGAGCTATGGGATATGACAATTAGATTAGATCAGGATAGGTTGAAAGTGAGCTATAATTAACGTTTTGATCAGATACTTCAATTATGTTCCTTGGTTGGGTGGAGGACAGGGGATTTCAGACAGATGGAGAGTCGCAAGCGACGACATTGTTAAGTTCAAGCAGCCTGAAAGGCAGGTCGTAAAAACGTTTACAAACGCCTATACAGTCACTGTATAATGGACTGGTAAGCTTGAAAAAAAACTTACAATTTCCATAATGAACTTGAAATCAGGAAGTGTACTCATACCAAAACTTCATGCCACTTATCCCACCTACTAACCCCTGTACTTGAGGACAATCTGTCGTCCCTAGGCTCGGCCTCGACAAGATCCTCAAGACCACCCTACTAATACCAAAGCCTCACCATCTCATCATAAAAAAAACAACTTTAAAGTTCCGCCGCATTAGGTCCGCCAAGTTTCCTTCCCGTCTTGCTAAGAAAATTACGTCAAGTGCTAAACACAATCAGACTCGCCTTTATTACGTCAAAGCCATCGCCTCTATACACTTCTGCCAAAATGAACACACAACCAGGTAGGCTTTCAGTTACTGCTCTTTCCAAACATACCGCTAGGTGTCGTCCTTACACTGTAGGCCTGTGACAGGTCCCACAATGCACCTCACTCAACTTTGACCTGCCCCATTGCATGACGGGAATAAAAATGGCGGCGCCCATAAAATCCAGGTAAAATAGAACAGGTTTTGCTATCGCAAACCTGTAATTTGCTATCGCAAACCTGTAATTAGCCGTGGTGACTTCACGGCCTGACTTCTGTCCACGGCACGGTTCTGCACACAAGAACTCCCGCTCGGGACAATACCGGGGCTTCTTTCACCACTAAAGCGGGGAAGAACAATGTTAGAAGACCCCATGTAGGATTTTCAAGCGGTATTTTCCCTGGGAAACACGGAAAAATCGGTAAGTTTTGGGTAGAGTTCTCTCTCTCGCTTGCAAGTCGAGTTTTCGGGTCGGTCTTTCTTTGATTCTTTTGAAAAATCGTTGAGGGATCTGGGCTGGTTTATGACTTGTGTCAACACCTTGGATAATCGGAACATTTAAACCTGCAAACGGCACATATGCACACTTCCTGTAACGTTTAACATAGCACAGAAATGCTTACGTAGTTTTGAATAATTTTACCCCGTCCAAATTGGCAAAGTTTTAGCCTCTTTCTTTCTTCTAAATAAATTTTGTCGGGAGCAAGACTTTGGGGAGTTTAATCGATCGTTTCTTAGTTTTTACGCCCAGTTTGTCAACTATTTTCTGCAAAATGCAATGGTTATAGTTTCTCTAGAATATCCATGGCTATCCCTAACAGTTTGAAGAGTGTAACCCAGCTGGTTTAGATCTAGGAACGCATCTGTTTGCCCAGAGATCGTTTCAGTGGGTCGATCCCTTTGTGACCTGTGTTTACAGTGGTGTGTGTTTTTTTACTGCCGCCTTTTTGTGTCCACGTTTGCCCACACTTGTGAAAAACATCCCGCGTTTTTCCTCCCCAAATTCAAATCTTGAAACCCTGTAGCTGCTACCAGGCGTTTTTTCACGGTTGCTACCGTGAATTCTGACATCCAAAACATGGAGTCAAGTTTTAGTAATTAGCTCACCCTTCTCGTGTTGAACACAGAGTAGCGCCGCCTGGTCTTTGTCTACTGGATACTCTATACCTCCGCAAACCGCCCACAGTAACATGCCTGTAGCCTCCATGGCTTGCCAAAAACTCGGGGTTTTGGGGGTCTTTGGGAGCTTTTATGTGCTATTTTCTGATTGCATATAGACAACATAGGCGGCCTGGTTGAATTACCCCCGTTTTTCAGAACTGGGCTAATCAGAAAACAGCCGAAGACCACCAAACCCCCAGTTCTATAAGCCTGCTACAGAGGCTAACATGCCCTGCACGGCTTCTAAACCCCCGAGCCGGATCTACACAGGGTGATTTCGACCTCAAAACGTCAACTCAATCTGAGTTTTACCCAAAATATAACTTGATTTGGACCGTGGGAGTGCGGTATATACATGCATATTTAAGTTTGCTAGTTTCCCATGCAAGTCTTTTTGTGGTTTGCTCCCTCAGGAATTTTAGTAGACGATTTGTGACAGTTTCTCCAGTTGTGGTCTGTGTGGTTTCAACCCAAAACATCAACTTAACCTATGTTTTACCCAAAATATCATTTGATCAGGACCGCATAGGTATACATACATACATGTATACAGGTTCGGTAGTTTCTCCCGCAAGTCTTTTTGTGGTTTTGTCCCACAGGAGTTGTTTGATGACAATTTGTGACAGTTTTCTCGTGTTGTGGTCTGTGTGATTCCATCAACCTATCATAGTTTTACGCCAAATATAACTAAATTCGAACCGCGAGAGTGCATATACTTACATACATATGCAGGTTGGATCAAGGAGGTTTTATACAACTACAATACAAGTTTGATTTTTAACCTCCCACACAAGTCTTTTCATGGTTTTATCCCCTGGGAATTGTTTGATGACAATTTGTGACAGTTTCTTGGTTGTGGTCTGTTGTTGTCCATGGTTAATCTGTAATCCACAACAAGGGGATCACTGGATTATGCAAATTAACCATTCACGCTGGGATTTTCACAGATAATAGAACTTGATGAGGCAATTGGAGTTATGGGCCATCTGCTGACTCTTGGGCTGTTATTGTTATTTAGAGAAATTATAATGAGGTGTTCAAAATAGGGCTCCAAATGTGTCAGTAGCAGTGTTGGTGGTCTTTTAGTAATTATCTCAGTTACTTGTACTAGTACTAGTAGGTCTTTGAAAAGTTAATTTCTTTAATAGTTTTATTGAATTGTTGTTGTGTTATGTACCTTGTTATACCAAAATGATGTCAGTATTAACTATTTTCTACTGTTTGAACAGAAATTTTCTGACATTCAGTATGATTCATACCTGCAATTTGCTTTGAGCAAATGAAAGATATATGAAAGACTCCGAAAGAGGTATTGTTACATTCCAAGCAGTCTAAGTGCATTTGTTTGTTGTATAGTGTAGTTTACTGTAGTAACGTGTAGTGGTACACCCCCAATTTTTAGCTTTCTTGTCTAAAGTAGATTATACACTATGGAAATATATCCAGCAGGGTTCTCACCAGAATTTTTTCACAGCGTAGGGGTCAGGTATAGAAGGGCAACTTTCTGCGGCGCGAGTCACGCACCGAGTCCCCAAAACATGGGCCTGATATTCTCCTCCCAAAATTTTTAAACTCATATTAACCACTTAAGACACTATTTATTGTTTATTGGGGGACAGATTTTGTTTTCCCTGTTATAGCTTCATTCTTAAGTTATATTTTAATTTTTTTAAAGATTAATGAAGCTTCTGCCCCCCAAAACCACCCCTACGCTGGTTGAAACACAGTGTAGGGGGCTAAATTACAGCGTAGGGGGTCAAAATCACAGCTTAGGGGGCCCCTACGCTCAGCCTGGTGAGAACTATGTCCAGCATGGAAGGAAATAGGACTTACCCAATTAGAAATTGGAGAATCCTGTTTCCACACAAAAAACTTTTATGCATATATATCATGTTTATTTATACCGAAGACGGTATCAAGGTATATAGACTATATAATGTACAGAACTTTTTCTCAAAATACAATTCCATGTCACTGATTTCTCTCAAAGTTTTGTACTGAATCTCAGTGAATGTGTTTTTAGTTAAAAATTTTACATCTAGCAGCAGCTGTTGATTGTTTTGATAAGTTATTCTTTTCTCTCTAAACTGTTAGATGACCAATCCACAACAATCTTTGCTTTCATAGTTCTCACCAGGCTGTTTGAGCGTAGGGGCCCCTACGCTGTGATTTTGACCCCCTACGCTTTGATTTAGCCCCCCACACTGTGTTTCAACCAGTGTAGGGGTGGTTTTTGGGCGCAGAAGCTTCATTAATCTTAAAAAAAAAATGAAAATATAACTTAAGAATGAAGCTATAACAGAGGGAAAACAAAATCTGTCCCCCAATAAACAATAAATAGTGTCTTAAGTGGTTAATATGAGTTACAAAATTTTTTGGGGAGAATATCAGGCCCATGTTTTTGGGACTCGGTGCGTGACTCGCGCCACAGAAAGTTGCCCTTCTATACCTGACCCCTACGCTGTGAAAAAATCCTGGTGAGAACCCTGCTTTATAGAGAACATGTTAACTCCACAATTGTGAGTGTGACCTAGAAAATATTAGCTGGCAGCTGCCCCACATAAACAGCTATTATGGAATGTATATAAACTGTTCTGAAGCACTCTTTGCTAGAGGCTGGTCCTTCATAGCACCACTTCACACACTGACTGAGGTGTAAACCCCTGGCACAACACTCAACTCCTGGCACTTGGGTACCAATTTCTTCTCCCACAAACATTACAGTCTTCTTCTCATGTATATTTCACTAGCCTCTACCAGGCTTCGGGAGTAGAAATCAGCCAAATAGAAAGATAACATGCCAGGGGAGTTGGTCTGCTGGAGAGAACACTCGGGTGCGGCAAAATGTTCTCTCCAGCAGACCAACTCCCCTGGCATGTTATCTCTCTATTTGGCTGATTTCTACTCTTTCCAGCCGCCTCCTGAAGCCTGGTAGAGGCTATATTTCACATCTCCAGGGTGTGCCTTCAAGAATTTCTCATCAATCAAAGTACATGTACACATTTCTGAAGGCATTTGGATACATTATGCAACACATGATGCCAACATAGGACTTTGTGGTATTTCCTTCCCCAGTTTACAAGTCATTGTGATTACTACATTTTGGTAATGGTGTTTTAGGCCATCAATCAGGAAACATCAGCAGAAACACTCAAACAGGAGCCAACATATTGCAACCTTTTAGAGCAC